CCCCCCCCCAGATAGGTTTCTGGATCCACTGTGTAAGTGTTCAAATGTTAGGAGCATGTATCCCATTCTCTTCATCACTAATGAACAAGCGTCCATCTTCAGTATGAATATATTTTAGCATCGGTATTTTGTATTTTTCTTATTTGGCTTTAGAAAATAACAGATTCCAGATGGTTCATCTACACTTCAGACTTTCATTGTATTCTGTACGTAACTTCCTCCAGTAACTTAACGTAGCATCCCAAATCATCCACGTTTAGATATCTTCAGGTTTTAATTCTTTTGAAACACGCAATACGTCTTCCTTATGAGAATAATATTTGCGACAGACTTCAAACATTTGAGTTAAGTGGAGTCTCCTCAATGATGCTACGTCATTTTTTTGTGCATTATGTACAGTTGGTATAGGTACATTATACTAGTCGCTCGGTTTGCAATCTTGCTGAATTTGTTGAGAGCGAACAGGAGTACTTGTTAGAAGTGTTAGTATTCCTACCTTTATATCGTAAATCGTTCCATGTATTCAGATATGTCCTTTTCAATGATATAAACATGAAGACATGTAGGATTACAACACACACAATGACATCTTATTTATATTTCAAATACTTTTTATTCCGTATTTATAATCATAAATTAGTTGACACAAAAAAATGACAAAAACAAAACACATGAGTTCTGCCTTATGTATAATATTACAGTAATCGTATATATGTATATGGGATTATATATAAACATTATGTAGGTTGACCGTACATCTAGAAAACGATAATACTAGTTCTGTATTAAGAATGTAGAGATATTTATAACGCCATACATTTACTAGATATATATATATATATATTAAACATGTATAAAAATTTGGCAAATCAAGTCAAAACAGAAATCTTTAAAGCACTTGCATTCTAAAAGCAAATCAAACAACCGAAAAAACTCACCAAATAAGTACCCCACATAATCACTCATCTCTTAGAAAATCAGCACTCTAACATAATCACATCTCTTAGAAAATCAGCACTCCAGCATAGTCACTCATCTCTTAGAAAATCAGCACTACAGCATAGTCACTCATCTCTTAGAAAATCAGCACTCATACATACTCACTAATCTCCTTTCTCCTTGGAAAACAACTCTCAAAAAAAATCAGTACTTTCACGCAATCACTTAGGAAATTAGCCACTAGCACACTTTACAGGAAGTTTTATTATTTGTATTATTTAAAGGTTCATATATTTAGATCCAGTGAGACACACACAGTTAGATTTATATCAGTTGCTTAAGGTTTCATTTTTTCTTGAAGTCACATTGTCTTTATAATTTCCAACACCAAGAATAATCATTATTTCATAAAATTTATTCTGAAAATATGACTTATTACGATTAATTATACATTGTAAATGTTTTTAAAATATGTCTATTGCCAAATGGTTTTAAAATGAATAACTTGTGTGTCTACTTCTTCTGACAATGCACAATAACAGATATCCTTCTAGGAGCGGTGCTCCACCCCATTCACATAGCTGCTCAGAAAACACTAACACTCTTTCCATCCCATTTCATACTCACTTTGTTTTAATCTCGGACATTTATTTCTTGAAGACATTTTTCACATATTAATTTAAACAAAGTCAAATTAACAAGCCCTGTGTATAAGACGGGATAACACGTTGCATTTGACCGGTGGGTTCTTGCAGATTTCTTTAAAAGACATCCAACAGACATACTAAATTGTCTGAATGAAAAATAAAATCAAACCAATATACCATGTACATCATTTTCATTTAAATCAATCACTGTACTCAATAACATCCACTTATCCATACAATATCTCAATGAAAGCTGAATTTGAGAGTTCAAATAAACTGTGATCTGTTCAAACATGATCAACCGAAATTGCTGTAGTAGTCATGATATTATCTAGACTAGAGACCAATACACAGCTTGTAATATAAAACCTTTCTCATGCTTAACCATTTTTCCTTCTTTGCTCGATCCAATTTTCTAGTAACTTGCTTATATCATGTGGCATGGTCAAACAAGTGAAGTTGAAACACTGAAAATGTTATTTGGCTGTAAGACTTCTCCAAATAATCGATTTGCTTTTGTTTGAATTTTGTATTTTTTTGTATATTTATCAAGAAAACTTGGCTACAGCATCTGAGGTTGAGCATGAGAACAGTTTCACAAATACAGGCCCAGATTGTTGGACTTTCCATCTTCAAATGTAATCAATAGATGTCAACTTTCTGTATTAATAAGTGACAGCATTGACTGGATGTTTTGGTACATGTACAGGATGATATCTATAAGATTTTCGGCACTTTGATAAACAGTTTAATCTTGTAAATTGTTTGCTTTTTGTGTCCCGATTGTTGCTTATTTTACATTTCTCGTCTTTAAAAAAAAAGTGCTGAAACATCCTTTTCTTTGGCACTGAAGCTTTTGGGTCCAAAACGTCTAGAATTCGTTTACAAATCTCAACTGAAAATGTAAAGTCATTGCACTCCTATCTATGTCTACTTCTGCATGCTTACATTTCCATCCAGATCCACATTGTCCTGAAGATATAGCATTAAAATCTAAAACACTTATTGAATTAATGCAGAAATATTTGTGGCTGAGAAATAGCTTTTCCAGATTTTTGATGTCTGAATCAAAAGGCCAGTTACTAGCTCTCTATATCTTTTTGAGTCCTGTGCGATTCCTAAACATCGTCAATTTCAAATATTCTCTTGTAATCTGAAACATCACAATGTATCAATAATATTTTAATTTGGCAAGGTTTGCAAATATTCCATGAATAAAAGCTACAATTTACAACAAATGCACAAAGGTAATATTATTCAGCAACTTTTTCTAAATAACATATGGTTTTCACATGTTTTAACCTGTACATGTTGTGCCGGATAATTTATATTACAAAATATTAAATATAATGTAAGTTTATGACAAAAAGGACATTTCATTTATATAGTTAATATATTTGATATCAACATATCATACAATATGACAATTCATACAATACTTAATGCTTAGTGTACAAATATTTGATACAAGTTTATAAAACATTACAAAATCATAAGTTCCACTAGGAATATGCAAGCACATTCCCAGCAAGTATAACAAGAGGCCCAGGGGCCTTAATAGCTCACCTGGTATTTCATTTTCAACCATCAACTTGCTGAATACCGTACCAGTTTGTCCCATGAGTACAAGAATACAAGCTGCTATGCAAGAGGACACCAACAACATGAAGGTATTCTTCATGTCCTAGCAGTCTTGTTTATGGTTATAGGGTAGGAATCTCAACTGTACCCATGTTATAGCCCAGGGAGGTAGCCTCCAGGAGTGGGTCTGGACCTCCAGGGCAATCCCGGCAGCATGAAGGTTTTCTTCTCTTCATGCATAGCATATTGTATTTGGTCGAATGGTGGGGATTAAATCCCTAACTTCATTCAGGAGGTATAGAGTTTTATTGATATACCTATATTCCCCTATTGACCCCCATTCCTCTGCCACCTTGGGGGCCACACACTCCATTTATATAACATTGAGGCCCACTAGCCAAAGGATGCTTTATACCAGTTGGTTAATATCCCTACATTTGTATGAATTGAGAAGAATTTTGAATATTTAGCTGTACTTCCCCTATTGGACCCTCTGTAGTGGAGGCTACATCCTCAATATATACATTGCCTACACGTTCTCTAGTTCAAAATCGGTTAAAATCAAAGGAGAAAGATTTCAGAACAGATTCCTTAATTTCCCCTTTTGGGCTCTGGCCTTTTGCCCCAAGGGGTATCCATACCCTCAATTTAAACAAAATTGATAAACCTTTGAGAAAGGATGATCCAAGTGAAATTTGGTCGGAATCCACTGAGCCATTAAGGACTAGTAGCATTGGGGGGAAAAAAGTTGACGGAAGATGGATGGAGGACGGACATTGCGCCAGGGCATCAGCTAACTTGGCCCTTTGGGCCAGGTGAGTTAAAAATATTTGGCACTTTTCACACACAAAAGAAACACAGGGAAATGTTACTGTACACATTGTACTACATATTAACATTGAACATATTTTGGCAATATGGATAACATTTTCTTATTTAGTTATACAAATACTTGAAGTATTTTAATAGATTTGTTATATGGAATAAATGTGGATACCCTGGGCACATATTCTTGTTTGTATTCCTATTCCCCAAGCCAAAGAAGGGTACCCGTTATCTATTTTGCCAAAATAGTTTCCACTTTCTTTATCAAAGGCAAGAGGAATACAAAATCCAAAAAGGTAGACCAGGTTATTATGCCTGCATGAACCTATCAGGTATATACATTTGTCGGTCTAAATGGTTCTATCATTACCAATTTAAGATTGATGGTTTGTGGGACTACCCTGAAAGTGTTATTTTTGATATTTTGACACTGATAGTCAATGCCAGTTACTGTCCTTCCCACATGATTTCATTTTCATAAATGTGCATTTATATGTATTGCTCTGGATGACAGCAGAATGATAAACCTATTTCAGCACTTCAAATCTAAGATTGTATCATGTGATTCATTCGCAGATATTACTCAATCCTGCAAGCCCATAAACAATATTCACATTTCTACTAAAATTATTTATTACTGAAATATACAGTCATTTAATTCTTACTGCCACAACTACAAATTAATTACCAAACATGAAATTTAATGAATGTTGTATCAGCTAGAGAAGGGATAACCCAGTTGTATTGCAGAAACCCGTCAACATGATAAAAGATACAGAGCCATGGAAAATCAAACCATCATAAAATTTTAATTGAACCTTTAAGTCTTCGATGACACTAAAATTCTGTCTGAACAACACACAAATGTAACAAGTGTATTTGTTTTAATGTTATTACAAACCATGGAAGAAAAAAATGGTTACTGCCAAGTATAGTGAGACAACAGTATCTAAGAAGGTAAGGGGAGATAACTACTTCAGTGAAGGTAAGGCGAGACAACGATGAAAGTAGGGGGACATAACTCATAATGAAGTTAAGGGAAGAAAACTGTCACAGTGAAGGTAAATGGAGAAAACTGTCACAGTAAAGGTAAGGGGAGATAACTGTTTCAGTGAAGGTAAGGGCAGATAACTGTTTCAGTGACGGTAAGGACAGAACATTGTTTCAGTGACAGTAAGGGTAGAAAACTGTTTCAGTGAAGGTAATGGCAGATAACTGTTTCAGTGAAGGTAAGGGCAGAAAACTGTTTCAGTGACGGTAAGGGTAGAAAACTGTTTCAGTGAGGGTAAGGGCAGAAAACTGTCATAGTAAAGGTAAATGGAGAAAACTGTCATAGTAAAGGTAAATGGAGAAAACTATCATAGTGAAGGTAAATGGAGATAACTGTCACAGTAAAGGTAAATGGAGAAAACTGTCGCAGTAAAGGTAAATGGAGAAAACTGTCGCAGTAAAGGTAAATGGAGAAAACTGTCATAGTGAAGGTAAATGTAGAAAACTGTCGCAGTAAAGGTAAATGGAGAAAACTGTCACAGTAAAGGTAAGGGGAGAAAACTGTCACAGTAAAGGTGAATGGAGAAAACTCTCACAGTAAAGGTAAATGGAGAAAACTGTCACAGTAAAGGTAAATGGAGAAAACTGTCATAGTGAAGGTAAATGGAGAAAACTGTCGCAGTAAATGTAAATGGAGAAAACTGTCATAGTGAAGGTAAATGTAGAAAACTGTCGCAGTAAAGGTAAATGGACAAAACTGTCGCAGTAAAGGTAAATGGAGAAAAGTGTCATAGTAAAGGTAAATGGAGAAAACTATCATAGTGAAGGTAAATGGAGAAAACTGTCACAGTAAAGGCAAATGGAGAAAACTGTCGCAGTAAAGGTAAATGGAGAAAACTGTCTTAGTGAAGGTAAATGGAGAAAACTGTCGCAGTAAAGGGAAATGGAGAAAACTGTCACAGTAAAGGTAAAAGGAGAAAACTGTCATAGTAAAGGTAAATGGAGAAAACTGTCATAGTAACTGTCACAGTAAAGGTAAATGGAGAAAACTCTCACAGTAAAGGTAAAGGGAGAAAACTGTCACAGTAAAGGTAAAAGGAGAAAACTGTCATAGTAAAGGTAAATGGAGAAAACTGTCATAGTAAAGGTAAATGGAGAAAACTATCATAGTGAAGGTAAATGGAGAAAACTGTCACAGTAAAGATAAATGGAGAAAACTGTCGCAGTAACTGTCACAGTAAAGGTAAATGGAGAAAACTCTCACAGTAAAGGTAAAGGGAGAAAACTGTCACAGTAAAGGTAAATGGAAAAAACTGTCATAGTAAAGGCAAATGGAAAAAACGGTCAAAGTAAAGGTAAATGGAGAAAACTGTCGCAGGAAAGGTAAATGGAGAAAACTGTCACAGTAAAGGCAAATGGAGAAAACTGTCGCAGTAAAGGTAAATGGAGAAAACTGTCACAGTAAAGGTAAGGGGAGCCGACTGTCACAGTGACCGAAGGGGAGATAACTGTAAGATTGAAGACATTCCTAGGATTGGAGTGACAGCCAAAATATTTCAAAACTGAATGCACGTTGAATTCAAAGTTGAACATTCAGCAGTGTGTCCCTTATTTTGGAAGACTTTCAAAATGTTTACCGGTATGAAATTAAAACATAAGGTCACGAGGGGAATATTTCATTACAGATTAGAATAAAATCATTGTTATATCACACACTATGTTATTACATTGTAAAACTACTATTATGAACCATTGGTTGAGATTACAGGAACCTAGAACAGCCACAGGATAAACTTGAATAATTTATAACATGCATTTACCTATCACACTAAGTCAACAGGTTGATCTTGCACTATTTACTAGACTATATATGAAAAGTAGATATAGTGTTAACCTGCTTTTATACAAAGTTTAACAACCAGAACAATACGAAAATTGGGATATCACCATACAACCTAAACTTCAACAATATGGTAGTTTTAGACACTAAAATATATGTTTGTATTTGTGATTTTGTGTGTAAACATTTTCACAACCATAAAAACCTCACATAATTGTGCAGTATTACTAAGAGTAAAAGACAATCCATTCCAATGTCAACAGAAGCTTCCAGGATGTTGAATACTGGGCAGCAAGTTTTTGCTTAGTAATTTTCATCGTTATCAGCTGGAAAATCAAATCAAGAATTAACTTCACTAAACCTCCTCAAAAAGTTTTAGGACTATTGTGGGTATTCAATGTCCTGTCTGTTATTAAAAATTAAAACTGGATTGCAAAAATATAAAGTAAAATTTGTACTTAAATATTGATATATTAATGGGATGCCTCGAATGAAGTTCATTTCATTTATTATACTAGTGTAGATATTTGTTTAACTTTTGGACACTCCCTTTTAGGCTCATTAATTGGAAAATTAACTCAATTTTTGGGACTTTATGTCTATTCTGTACTGTTCATACTACTATTTAGAACTGCTTTATTTACATATACTTTCACCTTACTTTTCTTTAACTTTTCTCACTGCAATGGTGTGCTGATATTGTTGGAAAAGGTTCATCGATATTGATAACACACACAACCTTCATCAAGCTATTTAATGGACCTATGGTCCAGTGTTAGGGATGTCCAAAGGATCATATACCTGTCAGTCACAGAAATCCAGACTAGCTACCACAGGAATTTAGAAAAACAAAGATTTTCTAGGGTCGGAACAGCCCAGAAAAGCAGTCAACATTAACCCTATCTCTGTAAGGATGTCAGGGCAGGATAAGAGAGTTCCCCTGGAGATTGGAACTGTTGAGTTCGACGAACCATGGTTTGGATTGAATTTAGGCTTTGCACACCCTGTGAAAACTTTCTTTGCAGCATTTCTGTTAACTTCTGTTGTATGGGTAAATGTTTTCTTTTATGTTTTTGATATTCTGGGACCATGTTGTAAATCTTTTGGATGTTTGTTGTGATATTATTAATTTTAAGACTTATTTTGGATAGTTAGGAGTCAAAGAGTATCTTCTTATTTTTTTTCGAAAATTTAATTACAGTGACTGTTGTGGTTATATCAAAATCCACCTTTACTTAATATTGACGCATTTTGAAAATGATGTAAAGTTTTCAATATTAAGGACTTAGTCGAGGTTGTATTTATCAAGTTCAAATTTGTTGGTATACTTTATTTAAATTAAAATTTTAATTTTTACATGAGAATCATGTGCTGTTTTAGTTGTCAGGATCGAGGAAAAATGAGATCCAGAATATACTGACAAATATGTAAGGAGATAAAAAATAACTTTGATGAAAAGGAGGACTACAGCATGCAGTTTTCTTTTTTTTTTCTTCCTTTTTTTGTATCAGCGAGAACAATTTCTGTTTAGCGCAATGTAGAACAAGTAGTACTATACTGTAAATTGTCCCCTTTGTGGTAAACATCAATTACCCTGTACACTATTTTAGCAGATTGTCATTCTAAGATAATGCCTGGAATTAAATATTTCCGTTCAATGAACTGTACAGTTAAAAGTTAATATGCCAAGGAAACTTTTGGCTACAATAAACAATGCTATAGATACATGTACAACAGTAAAACATGATAATTATCTGACAAATCCTTAATGCTGTAAGTTGGCCTAAGTCAATGACGTGCACCATTAGGTGAAGAATAGGCATTACTCCGTAGTCGGGAAGAAGTTGTACACACATTCCTCACAAAAGGAATCTTAATCAAGAGGTTTTCCAGTTGTTTTTCACAACATTTCATCGTATAAAATATTACATGCATTATGATTATATTTCCAGCATCCAGAACAGTTTCTCCCCATGAACAAAATGAGAAGAAGATTGAAATCCTTCAAGCAATTATTTTTCAAATATTCATGTTCAGACATGACATCTTCCAAATAATTTTCGACATTTAACAACAGTTTTTAAGTCATTCACTTATACATAGCAACCATATGATATTCAAAAGCCATAAGAAATCATAAAAAGTTATTTTGGAGAACATGTGCACTGGCCAGCTGGAGACAAAATGTTGGTTATTTGTGAGAATTTGATCAGATGTACTGTCCTAGAGCTGTGTAGAAGTCCTGCAAACATATGAGGAGCTGTGAGAATTTTGGTCGTTCTTCTGGCGTTCCAGCCCAGCAGCAAGCCATCACAGAAAACCTACAACACAACATATCGGTACAGTGGGGTATCAACTTATAAAAGCTGGTTTGGAATTTTGTGGTTATTTTTTAAAGTTTCAAATTTATTTTTCTGGTATGAATTTTGAACAGATACACTATCAAAACATTTTTTGTATGTATCTATTTATAATCATATTTACAAACATGTAATACAGTAAATATGTAATAATAATAGGCTGCCAATTCGGCGCTCACAGCTAGCATTCAACAATTCTAGCACTACCCAACCACATACTCATTTACAGCTGAGTAGACTGGAACAAGCCGAGTAAAGTATCTTGTTCAAAGATACAACACAGTGCCATGACGTGACTCAAACCCGCAACCATTTGGTCACGAGCCCGGCGTCCAACAGCTAGACTACCGTGCCTCCAATAATAATGCAATGAATATCAACAGTCACTTTCGGTCCAACCTGAGAGAAACCTTTAAAGGAGAACACCTGACATTAAGGACACCTGATTTTAACACAGTCGTATACAATATATAGCTAGTCCAATTGTCTGGTCCCCTGCGAGGTTGGTAAATACAGGTTTAAGTGTATAAAATGATGAAGTAACATTTCAGATTATTTAAGCCGTCTTGAGCCAGACTTAAATCTCATCAGGGCAACTGATTGACAGCATAAAACATGGTAGTAACATTTCAGATTATTTAGACCGTATTGTACCAGACTTACAGCTCATCAGGGCAGTTGATTGGCTGAGCTATTCTGTAACCCTCACGAAGGTAGGCCGCCATCTCAAACGGATCAATGTCAGCGTAAGGCTGCTGACCAACAGTCATCAACTCCCACAAAGTCACGCCAAACGACCACTGCAACGTAACATTTCACCGATGTATTCCTACATACAAGCTATGATTCATGATAAAATTACAGTTTACATTAAACGATTCTGTACATCTACATACTCCAAAATAAAAACTTTCATTTCCCTAAACTCTGATTAAAGCTTCAACTATCCGTTATTAAAGCTTAAAACATTGAAGAAAGCAGACCATTTCATGATGTGTTGCCCAAATTATCCGTTCAGGTTCAGAGGGTATTTCAGTAATTTGTGCGTCTTCTAACATCTAGTTATTATTACTGATATCTGCTAAGTTAAGATAGAAATATCAGCATACCTGTGATATATAACTGAATGTATGTCCTCACTCTATAACTTGATATGACCTGACTGATGATTTGTTTAAACCTGACAAAGTCGGCCATAACTGTGATTCAATATCTTTGTCAGATGAAACCAATGCCAGCATACACTTGTGCACTTTCTATCAAGCAAATATTGTTTATTAATAGATGATCTCGTATCAATAAGATATTTACAATATATTTATCTGTTTATAGTAGCGCTTGTCCACATCCTGTATCATCCTTTATATTTACTCACCACATCACTGCCTGTAGAAAATCGTCTTTCTATCAGAGCTTCGATAGATAACCATTTAATTGGTCGGTTCTCATTGTCACCGAGACAATTGTAATCTCCCGAAAACAGATCCCGTGAAAGGGCGTTGTCTGTTATCTTTAAAACCAGGTCGTTGTCTATGCTGCCAACACAAAAAGATCAGTCTGAATTTATCTTTAGCATGCATTCCCTTTTTTTGCAGAAGCAAAATTCTTTATTCTCTGTAGTGCACATTTCCTTTCAGTAAAATAAAATCCTTTGTCGGAGATCACAAATGATTTTTCAGTTGGAAACTTTGTGTGTGGAAGATAAGAGATATCCAACCCAATGATATTGTCAGTTATAAAAATAGCAAGGACTTTACGAAGGATTTCCACTCTCAATCTCTTAACTCATGAGCAAATCACCTGGCAGGGACAGTGAGTTAACTCAATTTATTCAATATTTATAACTGATGAAAAAAGACGGGTAAGAGAAAAGAAATGCTTAAGGCTGTTTGTTTACATGTTGTCTACATGTTTAACTAAACTTTGATTTGGTAAGGTTTAAATGTGACTTTAGGGGTGAATAGGTTAAGCACATTTGACTGCACTAGTGACTTACACACAGTTCCTTGTGGCTATGTCTTTGTGTATGATCTTTTTTCTGTGTAGGAACTGTATACCTCTCACTATCTGTATCGCTAGATACACAAGTTGTTGTGTAGATAACGTCTGAAATAAAAAATAAAACTTTTGGTAAAAAACATTTTAAAAAGACTAAATATTATTTTTTCCAAGTTTATTTTTTCCAATGAGTGCCGAGTCTATTTGTCACAATGTCCAGTATTATTTTGTAAATAGTTATTTCATCAATGTTCACTGATATTCTACCTAATGTTATAATTTTGTGCTAAAATAAATCAAATAAAACAAAAGCTTGATATCTGACTTTGATAAGTAAGCTGTTTGACAATTTGTATATATCCCTGATTGTTTACAGAATTTTCAGTGTGAAGAGAACAATAGAAGGTGACAATAGACAGGGTGGAGGGTGAACAGTAGTTATAATCAATACTTACACAGTGAGAGCCTGTATCAGATACCCCACACTTCTGTAAAAACTTTTTAAGGTTGCCTTCTGTAATATTTGGATAAATAATATAGGGACAACACTGGTCCTCCACACAGGCCCCGATGATAGGGTAAATGTTTTGGTGAACGAGACCCTTCATCATACAGCTCTCGGTGAGGAATAAATGCACCTGGTCTGATCTTGCCTGATCTGTAAACCCAAAGGGAGATAACTCAAAGGCATGCAGGAGAGAACTGATATAGGCATAGCCTGTTGTTCTATCCCATTCATACACACCATCATGAATGAAATATGTTAACCCAAAGGGAGATAACTCAAATCTACTGAGCAAAACATCTTGTGACATCTCAATCTCCTACCTTTTATAGGTGTCTCCTGTCACTGCAGGAGAAGATCTTTTCTCTCAAACTTTACAGGTACAAAATGCATTCATTATATTTGCTTAGAAAAAGATAAAACTGTCTCTATCTAATTAGGAAAGACAGCTCACAAGTGCTATTGTTCTGAAATCGTCTCAATCACATTATCACTTAATGCTGTGTAACCAGGGTTATGTCATCAGTTTATCCAGTGTAACCAGGGCCATGTCATCAGTTTATGCTGTGTAATCAGGCTCATGTGATCAGTTTATGCAGTGTAACCATGGTTATGTCATAAGTTAATGAAGTGTAACCAGGGTCATGTCATCAGTTTATGCAGTGTAACCAGGGTCATGTCATCAGTTTATACAGTGTATTTAGGGTCATGCCATCAGTTTATGCTGTGTAACCAGGGTCATGTCGTCAGTTTATACAGTGTAATTAGGGTCATGCCATCACCAGGGTTATGTCATCAGTTTGTTTACAGTGTAACCGGGGTTATGTCATCAGTTTATACAGTGTAACCAGGGTCATGTCATCAGTTTATACAGTGTAATCAGGGCCATGTCATCAGTTTATGCTGTGTAACCAGGGTCATGTCATCAGTTTATACAGTGTAACCAGGGTAATGTTATCAGTTTATACAGTGTAACCAGGGTCATGTCATCAGCTTATGCTGTGTAACCAGGGTTCTGTCTTCAGTTTATACAGTGTAACCAGGGTCATGTCATCAGTTTATGCTGTGTAACCAGGGTAGTGTCATCAGTTTTAGCTGTGTAACCAGGGTCATGTCATCAGTTTCTCAAACATTTTATGCAATCTTGATGATGGTGTCGTGCATTCAGTTCACTATTACAACTTAAGATAATGGTGGGATAGTGTGGGAGAAAAGTCATCAATCCTTCCTGTGTGATATTGACAGAGAAAACATGACTCTCAGGATGAAGTATTGAAGTTTAGCACTCAGCAAATTCTTGTGCTAAACTTCAAAATTCTTACCTTCTTGAAGAGATTTCCCTTCCCATATTACACAAGAGTGATGGATTCTATTGGTCACCTCATAGAGAGAAATAGCCTAGTGCAGCTAGGTAACCGTTATAATGGCCAACGTGATCATGCAGTCATAACCTTAGAGAGGCACAATTACTTGATGTCACAGGAACGATATATAAAATCAGATTGTTTTCAAACCCTTGTGCGATGTAATATAGAAGTTACCTGTGACAGTTTTAACTATAATTTCTTGGTCAGCCCCAAAAGTGGTATCTTCCTCACTGAGTAATGTGCCTTGGTAGATTTTTCCAAATGTGCCTTAAAAAAGATCAAAAAAATCACAACAAATAAGATACACTGTCATCAAACAAGAATCAGATTAATTCAATTCACTGTTTTTATAATATTCCATGCTGCACATTTTCAAGGTTTGAGCATTAAATTATCTGTTACTTTCCCAAAGAGTACAACAATATACAAGATTTGTGCCAGAGTTTCCTCACTTACCTTCTAATAACATTTCCGCTAAAGAAATTCTTTTTCTACTGATTGCAATTTCCTTTAACATTTCTTTAGGGTCAGGAGGAGACAACTCTGGTATAGGTGAAGGTCCAAGTACAGAACAATTTCTCACTGAAATCACACAAAAGTCCTGTTTATTTGTGAAGGAAGTATTATATGGAGCCATGCACTTAAATCACAGCTCAATCATTATGTAGGGATTTTTTCGTGTTTTTTTCAGCTTAAGGATTAGCTATATTGAAAAGGAAGTTCTTTTGTAGATATTTTAGTTTAATTGGTCTTTTTTGCTAGCTTCATATATCACTTCTAGATCTGTATTCCACATTACTACTGATCAAATTCCACATACAATAAATTATAACTTGCTCAACAGACCCATAAATAATATTTTCTTCATTCTTCATAAGTCCAGATGTTATATAACCCATTAATTTACAGTCTCCTAATACAACATTTATACAATGATCTCCATACAAGAATGCAGTGACAATTCAAGTACATGTACGTAGTTTTACCTGATCCCTTGATACTGATGTCGACAGGTGTCTCCACCCGTAAGAATGACTGGCTCTGTTGTTTGGTCAGTGCCTGTGAACTACTGGTATTATCACTGAAAAAAGAAAAGATCTCTTCACTGCGCAAGAAAGGAGTTTTATGAATAAAAGTAGGTCTGCAGATTTGCTTGGTGAAAAGGAATTACAGGAAGACATCAGTACATTTGAAAACCTTCAGAGACAGCATCCTCGATAATCCAGGGGTTACACTCACCTTTGCTCTCTGCACCCCAGGAATATGTCATAGCGAAATTGAAGGCCCGTACCTAGAACCTGACCAATCGTTAGTCTGATACCTGTCCTTTGAAGATTAATGAGGAGTGACACCCGACTTTAAAGGCAGTCAATTTTACTGTTACCCGACCGACATAATTTGTTTGGTGTACATCAAAGGATCAAACAAGTTTCCTCGTCTCATCCACAAGGTGGTGCACACTGAGCCTTCGATTTTGTCATGACATATTCCAGGGGTGTAGAGAATATAGGTGAGAGTACTGTAACCCCTGGAGTATTGAGGATGCAGAAACAGATGACTGTCGAAAAAACGTTTCAAGTCAAAACATCTGAGTTTTTCAGTGACATATATACATATAGGTTGTAATTGACAAAAAATATTTTATAAAAATGTTGATTTCAAGGTTTAAGCTAAAATGAAAGACTTCAGAAAAACTCAAATCAATTGTGGTCTCTGTTGTACATCATAAGGGAGATAACTCATAAAGTACATTAAAAGTTAGATAACTCCATTTGTATTGCAGGGAAAAGGGATGACTGTTTGCTTTTAAATATCATTTAATGAAATTTAGTTATTATTTGAATTTATTTACACCAAAAGTAATATGTTTCTAATGTTTCATCAACTGCCTTTTTCTAATTAGATTATAGATGAGGATGTCGAAAGTGTAACTTATAATTAATTATTGAACCTATCTCTAGTGTAACTTACTAGTATTTGATTCGGTCTGTGTACCCGCGGTTGTTATTTTTCTGTGTGTTGAGATAGTACACTGCCACAGCCAGAGCGATCAGGAGTATCACAGCACAAGCACACCCAACAGCAATGTAGAAAATATGGGTTGACATGGTATGAGCCCCGGCCGGTTCTGCAACATAAGGTTAATTTTAGTTATCAAATTGATATCATGATGTGATTTTTCTTGTTTTTCAACAGTCTAAGAATTATCTGATTATCTATAATTATTTCTTTCGTCAACATTATTTTATAAAATATATGCACTCTATATTCCTAGCTTATTATAATATTTTATTATCAGAAATCATCTACTGTACATACATGTACATATTCTTAGTCTACTATGAATGTATTCAGTTTTGTTGTGTTTAGATTCATGTGGGGTTTTTTATAACTGGATGTTAACTATGTATTATACGTGGTGGAGAGACTATACCTGGGGGAGACACCTGATGGACTGTGGTATTTTTGGTGGGAGGCAGTGAGGTAAATGGATAGACACCTAACGGCTGGTCATGGAGAAATGGCCTTGATATTGATGAATCTGGAAAACAAAAGCAAAGCATTGAAATGATTTCAATAGCAATGTAATACTGTATACTGGGAAATTGTTGCATGGCATGGCAGGCTTCTTTCAATTGTCTTTTTCCAACCTTGCATAAAATTTGACCGCAAATCACTTTTAACAAGGTAAAGTATTGCAAGGCAATCCATAGTCCCCCTCCGGTAATGATTTCTATATTTCACAAACAGTATATTTATGTCAGGAAGTATAGGTCACAGTGAGGTCATAGGTGACCTTCTTCTTGTACCTATGTACCTGTCTACAAATATCACCTCTGTCTACCAAATAATGTATCAGTCTACAAATATCACCTTTGTCTACCAAATAATGTCCCTGTCTACAAATATCACCTCTGTCTACCAAATAATGTACCTGTCTACAAATATCCCCTCTGTCTACCAAATAATGTATCAGTCTACAAATATCCCCTTTGTCTACCAAATAATGTCCCTGTCTACAAATATCGCCTCTGTCTACCAAATAATGTACCTGTCTACAAATATCACCTTTGTCTACTCAAAAATGTACCTGTCTACAAATATCCCCTCTGTCTACCAAATAATGTATCAGTCTACAAATATCACCTTTGTCTCCCAAATAATGTCCCTGTCTACAAATATCACCTTTGTCTACTCAAAAATGTCCCTGTCTACAAATATCTCCTCTGTCTACCAAATAATGTACCTGTCTACAAATATCCCCTTTGTCTACTCAAAAATGTACCTGTCTACAAATATCACCTCTGTCTACTAAATAATGTATCAGTCTACAAATATCACCTTTGTCTACCCAATAATGTCCCTTTCTACAAATATCACCTCTGTCTACCAAATAATGTATCAGTCTACAAATATCACCTTTGTCTACCCAATAATGTCCCTTTCTACAAATATCACCTCTGTCTACCAAATAATGTTCCTGTCTACAAATATCACCTCTGTCTACTCAATAATGTACCTGTCTACAAATATCACCTCTGCCTACCAAATAATGTCCCTGTCTACAAATATCACCTCTGTCTACTCAATAATGTACCTGTCTACAAATATCACCTTTGTCTACCAAATAATGTACCTGTCTACAAATATCACCTTTGTCTACTCAAAAATGTACCTGTCTACAAATATCACCTCTGTCTACTCAATAATGAACCTGTCTACAAATATCACCTCTGTCTACCAAATAATGTACCTGTCTACAAATATCACCTCTGTCTACCAAATAATGTCCCTGTCTACAAATATCACCTCTGTCTAACAAATAATGTACCTGTCTACAAATATCACCTCTGTCTACCAAATAATGTACCAGTCTACACATATCACCTCTGTCTACCAAATAATGTACCTGTCTACAAATATCACCTCTGTCTATCAAATAATGTCCTGTCTACAATTATTTGCAGTCTCATGTGTCACATTTAGTCCATAAAATACATATCTATCAATGTCACCTCCCAATTTCAAGACATTTTTTAAATAAGGTCATCATTACACTAAATACTGTTGCATGAAAATGCTGTTAAAGTACCCTACATGGATTATTGAGGGTATTTATTACATCAATAACCGCTGTGTGGCACTGGTTGTCACTATCAGCAAAGATTATAAATATCCTTATTGGTGATTACCCCACATGCATTTGATGAAACCAACAATAAATCAGTTTGTTTTATGTCGGCTAATTGTAGAGGGATCTAAATTAAATCGTGTCTTTTCAACATTGTCTCTTTTATAAACAGGACTTCAACACTTCAGTCGAACATTTTGTAGCTGTTTATAATCCTGTTTATATATATCATAGCTGTTAATAAGCCAATAAATCTGCCAAGGAAAATAAATAAATAAAAAGGTGCCAATTAGCGGTGTTGATGACTGACACGGTGATCCCTTAAGGGTTTATCCTTACATAATTCCCTGCTGATAACATCTCACTATCCCCACACCTGGTCGGGGAATCAAGGCTGATTCACTGCTTCATTGTTTATCGTTTCCATGGTGACATGTCACCATTAATTAGGTCAATGGTCGTCTGTGACACTAAATCGACCAATCAGACTGTAGGGTTGACACGTTGATAGGTTTTTGTGACTGGACCTGATTTATATTGGCAGGATAATTACTGCAGTGTTGGATAATCCCCATCAGGAACAGCAATCGTAGCACATTGTATTACAGTCTGGGTGGTGATAATTCCTTCCTTTTTTCCCCCGTTTAAAAAAAATGACCAGGATTAAGCAGAAACAGATCCATATAGTTACAATGGCTTCTAAACATTTCCACTTCCACCTTCTGACTTATCCATGACTAACCAACACCCTTTAAAAAGGCATCTTTCATATCTTCAGACAAAACACACACAATTTTCAGGGTAGGGCAGCCACTATTCAACAGGCAAACACAGATGATATTTTCAGTCCCAAATCACCTGTATTTAACACTTACTAGATAAACAGAGTATATACAGTCCTAAATCACCTGTATTTAACACTTACTAGATAAACAGAGTATATACTGCGCTCCAAATAAGCTGTAACACTGACCAGGTAAGCAGAGTATATACTGTTCCAAATCAGCTGTATCACTGACCAGGTAAACATCAGCTGTAACACTGACCAGGTAAACACAGTATATACAGTCCCAAATCAGCTGTAACACTGACCAGGTAATCAGAGTATATACTGCCCCAAATCAACTGAAACACTGACCAGGTAAACATAGTATATACTGCCACAAATCAACTGAAACACTGTCCAGGTAAACATAGTATATACTGCCACAAATCAACTGAAACACTGACCAGGTAAACATAGTATATACTGCCACAAATCAACTGAAACACTGTCCAGGTAAACATAGTATATACTGCCACAAATCAACTGAAACACTGACCAGGTAAACATAGTATATACTGCCACAAATCAACTGAAACACTGTCCAGGTAAACATAGTATATACTGCCACAAATCAACTGAAACACTGACCAGGTAAACATAGTATATACTGCCACAAATCAACTGAAACACTGACCAGGTAAACATAGTATATACTGCCACAAATCAACTGAAACACTGACCAGGTAAACATAGTATATACTGCCACAAATCAACTGTAACACTGACCAGGTAAACAGAGTATATACTGCCACAAATCAACTGTAACACTGACCAGGTAAACAGAGTATATACTGCCACAAATCAACTGAAACACTGACCAGGTAAACAGAGTATATACTGCCACAAATCAACTGAAACACTGACCAGGTAAACAGTATATATACTGCCCCAAATCAACTGAAACACTGACCAGGTAAACAGAGTATATACTGCCACAAATCAACTGTAACACTGACCAGGTAAACAGTATATATACTGCCCCAAATCAACTGAAACACTGACCAGGTAAACAGAGTATATACTGCCACAAATCAACTGAAACACTGGCCAGGTAGACATAGTATATACTGCCACAAATCAACTGTAACACTGACCAGGTAGACATAGTATATACTGCCACAAATAAACTGAAACACTGACCAGGTAAACATAGTATATACTGCCACAAATAAACTGAAACACTGACCAGGTAATTAAGAACAGAGCATATACTGCCTTGAATGCATGAGCTGCAACATACAACAGGTAATATAGTATATTGGCCTAAATTAGATGTAATGACCTCCTCATATAAATGTACAGTAATTAGTTTGTAGTTATAGATACATTTATATATAACAGCTGCCCTACACTGTTTTATCCACACAAGTACAGTAAACTTGAAGCTCATTTCAATCTCAATGAGGACGTGCTTTAAAACATCAAGATGTCATTTTAAAAGTCCATGAGTGATCTGGATAAAAACTGAAGTAACAAATGATATACATTAGATGAGCCTGTACGTACATCTATACCAAACTCCCATAGCTCTGATTACACTTCTAAAAGGGAAAGGAGAGAAAAAGTTAAAAGAGAACAAAATAACACTTTAACAAAGTCAAGGTAACCAAATCATAGCCCAAATCAGCAGAGCACGTACAAATTGGACAGGTAATTTGTAAAATGAAGATGTCCATTTCATCAATTACACTAATTCCCCTGAGCATGTATATGTATTGGAGTGTAGCCCCAAACACTAGACTCCCAAGTAAAGGAGGATCATTTGTCTAAGTATAGCGTCAGTAAAAACCTCACCAAGATAACAGAGAAACTTAATGAGAAATTAAAACTCTTCCTTTCCCTGGTACTGGAAAAGTTTTTGCACATTATACAAGAACTTGAGAAATCAATTATTTCATCTTTTTTCTGCCGGAAACAAACATTCCTCATAAATTTAGGCTGACAGTTTGCCCCCCGTTTCTACCTGTGAATTGCCACAACTGTACACAGTTACCACAATTCAACTTCCCATGGTGCCATGGGGGAGAAGTTCAAAGACTTCCAAGCTACCAAAAAAATTAACTCCCTTTGTTTTATTAGCAAGAATGTCAAACCAAAGCAGGCAAATGAAATTATACAACCATACATACATTTCAGTGGAGTTTTGTTTTGGTCCAATTTTAGCCCCAAATATTCCTCATGGGAAATACTAGTGTTCTGTTTTTAATTAATTTTATCCAAAAGATCTCAAATCACAACTATAATAGTAATGTAAAAGTTTGTTGTTCATAATGAGAAAAATATTAATATCATATATGTAGACAGGTAAACAAAGGATTTCAATGTTATTCACACAAAAATATAATATTTAAGACAATTGCACAACACAGCCATTTCCTCAATTCTAAAACCCCCAACTCTGTTTCCAAGATAGTGAAAAATCAGTACAGATGGTGTCTCACTACATTAAAATTAAAACATGTGAGAAATCAATCTTCTGTAGCTCTCGGAGTGCACGTGTCTGTATATAATTTAAAAGGACTGTATAAATGGTACATTTTATACATCATATCCAGAATGTTTAATCCTAGATACACGTCATTTG